CCGCGCAATTCAGAGATCAGCAATCCGGGGAACCTTCCGGTCCGAATCAGTTGGCGGGGTCTTCACCAAAGTTGTAGATAATAAAGCAAAGATTCCAGAACAGTTGGAATCATCCAATTCGGACCAGTGGAGAGAAAGATATGGCTTCCAGAGCATTCACCAGCATTGCGCGTACCCGAGAACTGAACGGCGAACTTCAAAGATCATGGCGGACGGAGCCCCTCCAGACCGAACCAGCTTACCCGGTCTTCACCAAAGTTCGAGATCCATGGAAGATCTTCGCAGAGCATTTGGAATCGCTCAATTCGGAGCAAAGGTTTGGAAGATAGGGTCTCCGGAGTTCACATCGGTCTAAAAGTCTATTTTCCGGTGATTTCAATGTGGCGCAAAGATGTTAAATCCAGGAAGCCTTCCACTCCCTAAGCTCCGATGGTTTCTTCACCAAAGTTCGAGCTTATTGAGTCATCTTGACTGTGGAACTGGTCCCAGAGAAATTGGAGTCGTGTGCTGAAAGTTACTGCTTCCGGAAGGTGACATGGTCGATACAAGCCTAAAAGAGTTGCGATACGCGCTAAGTATTTTCACAATCCTCGGTATCTTTACCTTGGCGTCACTCAAGTCGAGGCTCATATCTTGGAAGTATTCTGGACTAGACCTCGTGCCAAAGCCTTGGCATGGTTAGATCGAGGCATGCATACGTAAGAACTGAAGCTGGAAACGACTAAGTATTGAAAGTGCACCTCGGTGTAATGACCTCGGCGTGCATGCCGGACTGTGTTCCCCCAAGCACCTCGACATCATGACCCCTCGACATTTTATCCCGAGGTCCCTAGTCACGAACCCAGAATCAAGAACAGAATGGCTCAAGAACATACACGTGAGGATAGATCAAAGACTAGGGTTCATGCATGTTCTTGACGTGTTCTTCACGAGATCTTCATCTGGATCCTGACTCACGTGCACGCCTCGGCATGAAGACCTCGGCTTCACTTTCCGACACACCGTGGCACTCACCCATCAACCCAAGAAGGCGGTTCAGTACCCGGTTTGTTCCGGGCTGACCCGCGACACTTTCCCTTTGCTATAAATACATTTTGAGACTAAAAACCTAGTTATCTTATCTCTTATCTGTTTTTAGCTCTAAGAACTTGCCTCTTTTGTGAAACTTGATTAATCTAATCCGATATCTCGTTTTTGCATCAGAATCTTGTTCTTTCTTTATTTCTTTTATCATCCAACATCAAACTCCTTATCATGACTAGCTACACGTCTTGCAAAGGACTTAGTGAGCTCGTTATGATCAGTGAGTAGTCGTTTAAGCGGCTTTAGATAGGTAGATTAGGGTGCTTTCAAGGTGGATTAATGGGTTTAGGTGTCTAGTCTTGCATGTTTCATTCCTTAACCGACAAGATCTCTAAGCTGGATCCAAGCACATCACTTGAGGTTCAGATCTGAGACATATCTCGCATCAGAAGTGTTTGTAGAAATGTCTGAACCACTCGGTTAAGGGTTTAAGAGTCTTTCATCGCGAGAGTGATAGTTTGTTCTCTTAAATGACGTTTTTGAACCGATTCTTATTGCTGACTGATTCGTGCTTCTCAAAAGGGATTTTGGTACGAAAGAGGATCAGTTTAGACGTTTAATACTTTCATTAGAAGATTAACGTGCCTTGAGTTCAAAGTCAAATGAAATCGCTTGATAAAATGATTCATTAGCCCCTTAGTCTAACTTGGAAGCACCCGAGTCAAATATCCTGTCTAAAGCTTCTGCCTTTATCATTCATTACCATCATCTGAATCACCTGTTTGTTATTTGCATCTTGATTAGTTTAAATCTCTGCTTTTATTTAACTTTATTGCTCATTTGCCTGTTAATCATCGTCACCAAACTTTTATCATCTTGTCTTGACTTAAGTGAACAAATGACATAGGCTAGTGTCTCGTTTACAAGCTTGGTTTGACACCCCTTATACTACTTTGACAAGGGGATTGATAACCCTTCTAAGAGCCTGAAAACTCTTAGTTATCAATTGGTGCTGTTGCCAACTTGTAGGAGCATTAGTCTCTTGTTTGTTCTTGAGTTCAAGCTTTTCTTTCCTTTGTTTTACTAACTTCTTTCCAAGTTCTTGTTTTGTTTTCAGGTGCATGAATACCAGGTCTCGGAGCACAGGATCGGTTTTCCCATACGACGATAACATCGACAGATTAGAAAGGCGAGCTCGCGAGAGAGAATAGCACTTTGACAGACTTGGAATGGCAGAACAACAGAGAATGGAGCAACAGGCTCAGGCAGCCGAGCACCAGGCTCAGGCTAATCAGGCGCAGGCAGGAAGAAATGAACAACAAGCCTATGTTAATCAGCAACAGGCTCAAAGAAACGAACGGCTTGCTCAGCAAAACAAACACCAAGCTAATAGAAATGAACAACAAGCCCATCATGTTCATCCGCCACCGCCCCAAGTTCAGAGACAACATCCTCCAATCTGTGTTGGAGAGAATGACCGAGCTAATGCGCACCAATACCGAGCTGGGATTCAAGCTCCACCAGTTCAAAACAACAACTTTGAAGTTAAAGCTTCCCTGCTCAATATGGTGCAAAACTCAAAGTTCCACGGTCTGGCTGGAGAAGACCCTCTCGAGCATCTAGATCAATTTGATCGGGTTTGCGACTTAACCAAGATAAATGGCGTCTCCGAAGATAGCTTCAAGCTACGCTTGTTCCCTTTCAGCCTCGGTGATAAAGCACACCAGTGGGAAAAGAATATACTGAGGGGTTCTATACAAACCTGGGAGCAGTGTAAACTGGCGTTCTTATCAAAGTTCTTTTCCATATCACGCACGGCTAAGCTCAGGAATCAGATCTCAAGTTTCACGCAGCACAATATCGAGAGCTTTAGTGAAGCTTGGGAACGGTTTAGAAGCTACACTAACCAATGCCCACACCACGGCTTCTCAGAGGGCATCCCTCTTGAGTACTTTATACCGAGGTGCACTCCCCAAGATCAGAAACCAACTCGATACAGCTTCAAATGGGAATTTTCTTGGAAAAGAGATCACTGCAGCAATGGAACTAGTTGAGAACCTAGCCATGTCCAATGACACGTATGGAGAGGACTTTGATAGAGCAAACCGTACAGAGGGATCTGGTGATGAACAGCGCATGAAAAAGGATATAAGAGAGCTTCAGAGTAAGCTTGACAAGGTTTTGATGGCGACTCAAAAGCCAATACACTTTGTAGGCGAGTTTGATGAGCAAGGGCCAAGTTTTGACAATGTTAATGAAGATGGTCTAACACAAGAGGAGCTGAATTACATAGGAAATCAGCAGAGGTATCAGCGGTTTAACAACTACAACAGTAACCCAAACCTCTCATACAGAAACCCGAATGTAGCTAACCCTCAAGACCAAGTGTACCCAGCTCAACAACAACAACAAAGCTATGCTCAAAAGGCTCCTTTTCAGAATACCTTCCAGCCCAAGCAACAGTTCAGTGGGCAACAGCACGGCTACACTCAGCAGAATCAAGCGGCTCAGAGTAACAACTTCAACAACCAACCGAAGCAACACAAGTTTCCACCAGGGTTCCATCCGCAGCCGATGGGTAATCAACAACAGATTCAGGGAACGGGTCAGAATCAAATGGGGAACGACGTCTGTGGGATACTACAGCAACTGTTACAGGGCCAGCAAAGAATTGAGAGCCAGCACGCGACAATGCAGCAAGATATCAGAGAGCTTAAGCAGAATCAAGCTTCTACATCATCAAGAGGCCCGACTTTACCAGGTAAACCGGAGCCGAACCCTAAAGAGTATGTCAACGCCATCACATTGAGGAGTGGTAAGGAATTGCAAACTCCAACGCCTAAGACAAAGCTCATTGAGGCCAATGAGCAATTGGAGGGGGAGGCAGCCTCAGACGATGCGTGTAAAGAAGCGGTCTTAGAGAAGGAACCGATCAAGGACAAAGGAAAAGAGGTGGAAAAGACAACCGAGCTTGAAAAGCCCTATGTTCCACCACCATCTTATCAACCCAAGATACCGTTCCTAGGGCGTTTCAAAAAGAAAATCCTAGACAAGGCCAAGGCGGTCTTTGAAAAACACTTGGAGAACACGCAACTCACCTTACCCATTATAGATGCTTTCTTAGCTATACCCCAGCTTGGGAAGTTTCTAAAGGACGCGATCCTCGACAAGACAAAGGAGATCCAGGGTATGGTGATACTGAGCCATGAGTGCAGTGCCATAATACAAAGAAGATCTATACCAAGGAAGCTATCCGATCCGGGCAGCTTCACTTTGCCGTGTGCTTTAGGTCACCTGAAGTTCTCAAATTGTTTATGTGACCTTGGAGCTTCTGTGAGCTTAATGCCTTACACGGTGGCCAAGAGATTGGGATACAAAAGCTACAAGTCAGCCAAGATCTCTCTTGTATTAGCTGATAGATCGGTTAGATTACCGGTGGGGTTGCTTGAGGATCTACCTTTGAGGATCGGTGAGATAGAAATCCCCACGGACTTCATAGTTCATGAGATGGACGAGGAACCATTAGACCCTATCATCTTGGGCCGACCATTCTTAGCAACCGCAGGAGCCATAAAAGTTGTGAGAGGAGGAATGATTGAGCTACACATCGGTTCCGAGACTATGAAGTTCAACGTGAAGGAAATGATGAAGAAACCAACCATTGGAGGTCAGGTTTTTTATGTGGAGGTAATGGAAGAGCTGGCTGATGAGCTCCTTGAAGAGTTGAACGCAGAGGATCCGTTACAAGTGGTCTTAACGCGGGAACAAAGCGAGCACGGGTACTTGAACGAGGAAAGCGAGGTGTACAAGCGTCTTTTGGACCAACCGAGGGAACTTGGAGCTGAGGCGAGGTTTTTGGAGCTCCACACGAGCAGCCTCGACATGCTAGAAAGCGAGGAGTCAAATGGAAAAGAAAAGACACCTCGGGATATCATGGCCGTGACAACTTATACCGAGGCCGATGGTAAACCGCGCGAGAATGAAGCAAAGGCCGAGGAAGCTGTTCCGGGCCAATGCAGCTTTGATGTCGATTGGAATGAGGCAGACGCACCCCCTGTTGAGCTCAAGCCTCTACCAACAGGGCTCAGGTATGCATTCTTAGGTCTAAACTCTACTTTTCCTGTGATCATAAACGATAACTTGCTTGAGCATGAGGAACGTGCATTACTTAGTGAAATAAGGAAATTCAGGAGAGCCATAGGGTATTCCTTGGCTGACATTAGAGGAATCTCTCCTGATATATGCACCCACAGGATCCACCTAGAGGACCAAGCCATGTCCTCTATTGAGCACCAACGTCGACTTAACCCGAACCTCAAAGAGGTGGTTAAGAAGGAGATACTAAAGCTCCTTGAGGCAGGGATAATATATCCAATCTCTGACTCTCGGTGGGTATCTCCTGTACACGTTGTGCCCAAGAAAGGTGGGATTACGGTGGTGAAAAACGATAAGGATGAACTCATAGCCCAAAGAACTATAACCGGCCATCGCATGTGCATTGACTATAGGAAATTGAATTCTGCATCAAGAAAAGATCATTTTCCTTTACCATTCATTGATCAAATGCTTGAACGTTTAGCTAATCATCCTTATTTTTGTTTTCTCGATGGATACTCGGGGTTCTTTCAAATACCTATAGACCCCCGAGATCAAGAGAAAACGACATTCACCTGCCCTTATGGCACTTATGCTTATAGAAGAATGCCATTCGGTTTGTGTAATGCACCGACCACTTTTCAAAGATGTATGATGCACATTTTCTATGATCTAATTGAAGAGAAAGTTGAGGTGTTTATGGATGACTTCTCCGTATACGGCTCCTCTTTCTCCGAATGTCTTGCTAATCTTTCTCAGGTTCTCAAGCGGTGTGAGGAGCATAGGCTTGTCTTAAACTGGGAAAAGTGTCATTTCATGGTCCAAGAAGGCATTGTCTTGGGACACAAGGTATCAGAGAAAGGCATCGAGGTGGATAAGGCCAAGCTCGAGGTGATGGTGAACTTACAAGCCCCGAATTCTGTGAAAGGAATAAGAAGCTTCCTTGGCCACGCTGGGTTCTATAGACGGTTCATCAAGGATTTCTCCAAGATAGCCAGGCCTTTGACCAGGTTATTGTGCAAAGAAGTGGATTTCAACTTTGATGAAGAATGTGAGGAAGCGTTCAAGAGAATCAAGGAGGCTTTGATCAGTGCACCGATAGTACAAGCCCCTGATTGGTCTTTACCATTTGAAGTGATGACCGATGCATCTGACTATGCTGTAGGAGCTGTCTTGGGACAGAAGAAAGATAAGAAGCTCCATGTGATCTACTATGCCAGCCGCACTTTGGACTTGGCTCAAGAAAAGTATGCCACCACCGAGAAGGAAATGCTTGCCATTGTGTTTGCATTTGATAAATTCAGGAGTTATCTAGTGGGATCAAAGGTCACGGTTTACACAGATCACGCGGCCTTGAGGTACCTGATGTCTAAGAAGGACGCTAAGCCGAGGCTTTTGAGATGGGTCTTATTGCTCCAAGAATTTGACATGGAGATACTTGATAAGAAGGGCATTGAAAACGGAACCGCAGATCACCTCTCAAGGCTGAGGATTGAAGAACAGGTCCCTATAGATGATGCTTTACCCGAGGAACATCTCATGTTAGTCCGGTCTTACTTAGAGGTGGAGGAAGCCAATACGATCAAGGAAAGAAGCCTTCCATGGTTCGCGGATCTTGTGAACTACTTGTCTTGCGGATTAGAGCCACCAGATCTTGATACTTATCAGAGGAAGAAGTTCTTTAGAGATGTGATGAGGTATCATTGGGATGAGCCGTATCTTTACGTGCTTAACAAGGACCATCTCTATAGGCGATGCTTGGCCGAAGAAGAGATCCATCCAGTGCTACAAGAATGCCACGGCTCATCGTATGGTGGTCATTTAGGTGCGTTCAAGACAGTTGCCAAGGTTCTACAGAGCGGTTTCTGGTGGCCGACCATGTTCAAAGACGCCCAGGAAGTGGTCTCGAGGTGTGAAGCTTGTCAAAGCCATTTCATCAACAAGACTCTTGAGAGTCTTTTGAAGAAGCACGGAGTAAAGCACAAGGTGGCCACCCCTTATCATCCGCAAACCAGCGGCCAAGTGGAGGTTTCCAACCGTCAGATAAAGGCCATTTTGGAAAGGACCGTGAACTCATCCAGGAAGGATTGGAGCAAGAAACTTGACGATGCTCTGTGGGCTTACAGAACCGCCTACAAAACCCCCATTGGAACCTCACCGTTTAACTTGCTCTATGGAAAGAGCTGTCATCTACCGGTTGAGTTGGAATACAAAGCCTTGTGGGCAGTGAAACTTCTGAACTTTGACATCAAGACCGCACAAGAGAAGAGGGTTTTACAGCTTCATGAGCTTGAGGAGATCCCGGTTAGATGCTTTCGAGAGCTCTAAGATCTACAAAGAAAGAACCAAGGCGCTCCATGACAAGAAGATACACAAGAGAGAGTTCAAAGAAGGGGACCAAGTTCTGTTGTTTAACTCAAGACTCAAGCTGTTCCCTGGGAAGCTGAGGTCTAGGTGGTCCGGTCCGTTCACGATTCTTGAAGTAAGACCCTATGGAGCCGTGGTTTTGAAAGGAAAAGATGGACAAGGCTTTGTGGTAAATGGCCAGAGGGTAAAGCATTACTTGGCATCAGAAATAAGGGAGGGAGCTACCTCAGTTCCTCTACTTGAACCGGAATCAGCCTGAAAAGGTATGAAAAGTCAAACTTAGCGACGTTAAACAAAGTGCTCTTGGGAGACATCCCAAGCTTATCCATGTACATATTTCGTTTTTCATCTTCTTTTTCTTTTTATTTGAAGCTTTTTGAAGGGTTTGTTAAGTGTTTCATGAGTTAGACAGTGAACCTTGAGGGTGAAAGTGAGAGAAAGCTTGAAAAATACACGGCCTGATGA